TATTATAAGACACTCTTTGATAAACCTCTGATACATTAAACATTTAACTGACCAGTGAGGAAACTAGTGAATGCTCCATTATCACCAAACTAAATACAGTTTTAATCATAAAGTTACAAAGTAGAATTATTTCTTTCACTATCCACCATATTTCTCCCCAATTCCTGTTCATGCATCACACTGGGATACAACAGGTCCAGGGAATAAATCTACTGTACTATACCACCCAACAGACTGGAAACACTCTGTTACTGTTGTTAGTGTTTGAGAGTTTCTGGAGGTCCAGGAAGAGAATGAATGCAACAACTAAAATCCACACAAACAGAAACAGGGTTATGAAAGCAGAAGCAGAGCAGATACTCACAGCCGAAGGCGACCAGCCTCAGTGGAACCATGTTGATGTCTCTCAGCTTCCTCTTCTGTCGTCCACCTACAGACAGTCTGACAGTGAAAGCAGCATCTGGACGTCCAGGTATTTATGCGTCCGTCCTGACAGCAGACATGCAGACGCCTGCCCCGCCGCTGCAGGCATGCAGGGCCTCCTGACCCAGATGTGATGAACATGTAAAACCCTGCGGAGCTGCAGAGAGGGATCTATAAATCCACAGGTTTCAGGACCTTTAACACTTTACATCCCAGCTGCACCTCATTCTCTTCCATAACCCTCATTAAGACGCTCAAAACATAAAAGAACAAACATCTGGATCTGTTAACCAGGGGTGGAAACTGTTTTCACTAACAGGCCTGAATTTACTAAATGAGCATGTTTTGAAGGCCCTATAGCTCTATTTATACTACAGTACACAATCCCCATATAGGGGACTTAAGTCTTAGTGACAGCTTAAAAACAGACTGATATTTCCACAGCGCACAAACACTGACCTCTATTCCTAAAATCCTAGCTGACTGTTAATGATCTGAAGTGCGTACAGTTGGAAAACGCTTGAGATTAATTACGCACAAGCAGAAAGATAATTGACGATGGTGGATGGGATGTCTGCTTGGACAAGTGAGTCTGGAGTTGGTCCTGGGCGCTTGTACAGTGTCTCCCGTACTGCTCCTAGTCTTAGGATTGGGTTAAATAGGACTGTGTTGTGATCGTAGGAGTTGGGGTAAGCTGTGCAGTGAGCAGCCACTCGCTTCACCCTTCCAAGCAAAGAATTAACAACGGATTCTGTCTGAACAAAGTCAATAAGAAAAACGCAAATTTACCTATATGTATATTTGATATTCTCAGTGTTTTTGGGTATTGTCCTTCTGGGATGCTGTGGGAAAACACCGATGGCCATCGCCTCTCTCCATCATCGGACAAGTGTACCAACGCCTGTCTGTCGATGAAGAAAAAGTTGTCTCAGTTGTTCCATGTAACAAGTGAACGAAACAGTAGGAATTATTGAATACTCTGCTTATTGACCACCTACCGATCAATGTAGTCTTTAATATGAGTAGGAATTCTACCATGTAGTGAGTTCAGTGTTTATCCTTCCTTGAGATGTATCTAGACCATATTGGCGTCCCGTGAATGGTGCCATGGTAGCTCTCTGTATAAAGACAACACTCCTAAAAAATCGGATAATGTGCATGAGAACTTCTGTTCTTTTATTATTTCTCTAATATGATTTTTGCTATTCTAGAATGTGGAGGTGAATGGTTCACTGATTTACAATATGGAGCAAAATACATCTTAAAATACCCATCAAAAGTCTCATTCGAGAATTGTTATTCTGAGTTTTGTCTTAAGTGTTATGCACATTTACAACATTCTATGCACAACACAAGAGGAAATGAATAGAGAAGTCTATTGATTTAGATTCAGGAGCTTAATGGTGATCAGTATATGTTGGTAGATAGTGTGATCAGAAGACACACGTAGAAATTTTAGCGTAACATTTGTCTCTACACACTCTCGGTCCTTTTGGGTGCGAATTTGGGATGTTTGGATGAGAAAAGATATATCAGTAAGACTACAGCTATATATAAGCTTTTCCATTCTCTATTTTAAAGCGAGAGTATAAGGTTGTGCTCAGGGACGCGGACAATGACAAATAAATAGAGTGATCAAGAGGGAAAATGTGCCAACTGCCATTCGGCAGCCTTTGATAGAATGATCAGCAATGCCTCCTAGGTGGATTAAGCATATGATGACCTCCCTGCATGGCAATGCAGAAGGTTCGAAACAGAGGTCTATTCATTGAACTCCTGGCGATAGTCTTTATACATTTTGATGCAACGATACTATAGTAACCATGGTAATGTTAGTCTTAGATGATCCTTGTTGGCTTGGAGAAGGTAAGTCGGATCACGGCACTCGAAGGCTTACAACAGACCTGGTTTTTTTCAGCTTGTCTTAACTATGTTGTCCACATATTGCATATGTTAGTCTATGGGTTGGTTCAGGATATCCCGGGTTCATCAAGTGTCCTCCTTTTCTTGTTATTTATATTTTATGTGTCTGCCATCTTATGGCTGTATTTTATACCATATGGTCACTCGCACCTTCTAATGAGAAAGACTTAATGCTGAATGCGTAGTTATATCCATATCTCTATCTCTGATAATTCATCTTTGTGTAAACTTCTTTCATTTATTCTAGATACTTTAGCAGATTTACGCTATTGTTCTTCCTTAGCTTGATTATATCTTTATTTGTATGATAT